AAAAAAAAAAAAAAAAAAGAAGCTGCTCTTCCAAAGAGACTCCGCATAACCCTAGGCTGCTTATTTTGCTGTTGAGAAGTTCCTCCTCATATCCTAAAGTCTAACTCAAACCTTTCGTTAAAAAGGCCTCAGCTCATCTTTCTCCCTTGACCTCAATGGACAAAGTAGAGATTAAGTGCTACTTTTTTTTCTCATAGAAACCCAGGGACGAACAGTGAGTAGGCTCAGACCCTAGCAGGAATCCCATAAATGTTTCCCCCAAGGCCCCAGTGGGGGATTGGCATCAGGGAAGAGGGCATTCTTGAGCTAGCAGCAGAAAGGCAGGGAAGGCAGTGGTCTCAGGGTAGCTAAGCCAATATTGAATCAAGCTGAGAAGTCTCTGTGCAGGGCCATGGGAGCTGGTATAAGCAGATTCCAGTCAGACAGCCCAAGCCAGCTCTGGGAGCCCCTGCTGAAACAGACAGATGGCAAAGAAAGTAACTTGTGCACTCACCTCTCTCTGAACTGTTCCTCCCTGCTGCAAGCCCCAAATGCGCTTGGACTAGGCCCTCTCTTGTCTCATGCCAATTACTGAAAGGTTCCTCCCAAACTTCTTCCCCAAATCAAAGAATCTCAATTTGTTGCTTTGGATGGCATTCAGCAAACACGTTCTCATGCAGCGTGGACCCAGCTCTGAGAATGAAGCAGGGAAACTACTCCTAAAAAGGAGTATGAGGAGACTGCACTCTGGCTAACAATGAAGAGGGAGACAAGGGATAAGTGGGAAGAGGTAGCATGATTACTTTCAAAAAGACTTAAGAGTTGGAAGAAAAATGCAACTTCACATGCCCTCTTCACTATCACAGGCCAAGAGAGACATGGCATACAAGGGAGCAACTAGTTTCCCAAGTCCCACTTCACTCCAAGTTCTCTTTCCCAGCCATCTTCCTCAAAGGGCTTTCCCACAAACATACTTTTCCATCTACAGAATCTGGAGTTATGGATCAAGTCCAAGAGGAACAGCACAGGTGGTCAGCAACTTCATGTAGCAGAGAAAAAAGCCAACGCAGACAAAGGAAGCAGGCCTGGAGCTTGTCTTTCAAATGGACTTATTGCCACAGCTGTCGACTAGAAAGACCCAATAGAGAGATCACAATGAAGGAAAACTCTCAGGTCAGCTAAACCACTACTAAGAAATGCCTTTTCTCTGTGAAACCCAGAATGTTTTGTAAACAAATAAACGAAATCTAATTTTTCCCCCAACCCACATGTTACAAGTAGCCCATTACTGCACTGATGCCCACAGAGTGGGCCATTCTCCCAAAAAGGTCACTCTAGAGGTCAAGTGAGGAAGTCACATACTGAATCCAGAAGTCCTGATTCTGAATGTCCACGCTCTCTCTAATGTCTCATGTTCCTTTTCTCAGTTACCCCCAAACCCACCCTAGGCCTAAGCCTTACGGAATCAACCAAAACTATTCCAGTAAGCCACAGACAATAAATTGACTCCTTCTGGATCTGGAAGACACTCTAATCAGTGATCCCTTAAGGACAAGCCTAAAATTAAGTAACCCAAAACAAAATTTCTCACAATCTCACAGTTTCCAGGCAGGCCTGTTCATCCCTCCTAGTGGCTGATCCTGGGTAGTCAACAAAGTGTAATCTGATAGGAACTTCTTCAAAACTTACTCCATCCTTCAGAAACACCCTTCTGTCCAGAAAAGCCTGAGTGAGACAGCTGAGGCTCCCCCCACCAACACATTTTCTTCTTAGTTCAAGATTTAGCTGATCCTGAAATAAGTGGTATGTAGAGATAAAGAATGTGACAGAGAACACAGAAAGACCACAGGCAAAACAGAACCAAGGGTCACAAGGATCAGCAAAATCCTTGAAACGAGAGAGAGAAGGTGTCAGAGATGGAAATCCTGAATGGGAAGAGGCACTGTTAGATCTTTTCTATAGGAACAAACCTCCAGAGGTTGGGGTATTGAGGAGTGGGAAAAGGGAAGCTAAAGAAAGTTACAGGGATCATAAAGCTCTCTAGAGAAGGGTAAGGATTAAGACCAAAGTACAATGCAAATAGTACTTTGGGAATGACGATGAGGGACTGAGATTTCTTAAGGGGAGGGGAATAGGCAATTCTTGGAAGCCAGGAGCTGGGTGGGTGGCGGTGAGGTAATGGAATCAGAAACAGAGGAATAGAGGGCCACAGGGAAGAGAGAGCTCAGGGAAATGGGAACCCAGTGCTGGGGTTGCACGGAGACATCGGAGGAAAGGGGCAAAAATAGGAAAAGGGGATGAAGGAGGAGGCTGTGGGAAAGGTTTGGGGCGGAACACAGCTGACGAGGAAGGGCAAACAAGAATGGACATTACAAGAGGTACCCTGATGTGGAAAGGGTTCGTGACTTAGGAGAAAATAATTCGGGACAGAGGCAACAGGGATGGGGGGGGTGCGGCGGGGGGATCCCCGGGCGGAGGGAGGAGCTAAACAGAAGAGGAAGCCAAAAAAGCAGAGAAGGACCCCAGACTTGAAGGGAAAGGGTGAAGGCACCCGGGGTGCAGCTGCCACCCGGAGGGCAGTTCTGTAGTCAAACCCAGGTGTGGGGGCGGGGGGAGGCTGTGCGGGACAGGGTGGGAGAGGGACCCCCCCACGCACAGGGCCAGGGGGACTCCCAGGGTAGGAGTCGCTTACCTCCTGAGGAACCCCGCGGAGGGGGTGCGGGCGGTCGGGGTCGGGCTGCCGACACCGCCGCCTCAGCAGCAGCGGCCGCTCCCGGGTTCCATTGGCCGCCTGCGCTTCCCTGACAGCGGCCGCGGCGGCTGAGCCAGGCCCCGGCTTAGGGGCTGCCCTCGGCGCCGCCTGAGGGGGCCTTCGCACTGCCTCAAGTTCGACCGGGCCGCACAGCCTCCTCGCCTTCCCTCCGCAAAAGCAAGACGAAAATAAAAAATCCCAGTAGGGCTCAATTCTTCTTGTGAGTCCCAGCAACCCTTCTTGGGATATGCCTTCCGGCTTCTCCGACGCTCAGGACCCTACCAATCCCATAGCAATCTAAGGAGTCGGGTGAGCTGCCTGGAACATGCCTGCTCAGAAATAGAAAAGGGGGCGGGGAAGACGCATTTGGAAGCTGGGGAGGGAGGAGAGGACGAAGGGAGGAGCCTACGGGTGGGAGGAGGGGCCAGTCTTCCGGAGGCTCAGAGGTAGCGTTTGCGAGGCTAGGGAACCGAGAAGGTAGTAAAATTTACTGGATAAGGGACAGGGCCCCCTGGCCTAGAGCAGAGAGAGGCAGGCCGGCAGGCGGTTGTGGGTGCCCTATTAAAGAAAGGAAGTACAGACACATTGGGTACTTCCATAAGTACCTGAACATGCAAATTATATGTAAATGAGTCCGTTTGTGTTAGCAACGGAGTTACCGTAATTGCTATCAGTGGCTTTCCCCCCTCCCCTATTCCGCAAGACTCTCTTAGTAAATTAGGCCGTGGAATGGACGCGGGGGGCCCGCGGGGAGAAGAGAAAGAGAAAGGGCGGGCGGGGAAGATAGTCACCCTCACCACCCTTTTCCTATTAATCTTTAAGGACGCTGCCAAGATTATGCCCCTTATCGCTTCGGGAATGGCGCGGTCCAACCGCGTCAATCTTCCGCCGTTAGCGGCGCGACTCGGGGCCGTGGTTCTGCCTCCGAGGTCACCACCTGCCTGGGTAGCCTTTGGCCTCCAGCCTCCGGCCGTCGATCCCTCCAGGGAGGGGCTGGACAGGGCCAGGTCGGGAGAGGTGAGTGATCGTAACGCCGTCTTCCAAACAAAACCAAACCAAATACAACTAAACAAATAAACAAAAACACGCCCTGCAGCTGGACCTCTGGTTTTGCTTTTGTGTATTTGTATTACTGATTGGGAACCCTCTCCCTCAGAACCTCTGTCCCAACCCTCATAGGGCCTTACTTAATATTTGTCGTTGAGGCTAGATTTCTGAGGCTAGCCCAGATCTTGGATGCCACCTTCCCTGCCACTTAAAGTCTGTTTGATTTGGGAGGACTGGAGTAACCTCTTTGAACCTCAGTTTCTAGGTCTGCAAAATGGACCCAGGAATATTAACACTTTACAGGGTTTTGTGAGGATTAAAAGAGAGTACAGATTACTACCATAGCACTACATTACTATTATTGGGACAATAATATAGGATGATGAAAGAAAAGGGTCACTGCTTCTGTGTTTAATGGGGAGGCAGAATAGAATGATTTTCCAGAATAATCAGGAAATTAAAGAAGAAATTTTAAAAATACATGGAAGCAAATGGGGAGGCAGAATAAAAAGTAGTAGCTTGAAAATACCTATGTAAAACATGCAGTATGTACAAAAGTAACAAATGGGGTACCCAATTGCTGAAGGAATAGAGAGGAGTATGTTTTTTTTTTTTTTAAAGATTTTATTTATTTATGTGACAGAGAGAGACACAGCAAGAGAGGGAACACAAGCAGTGGGAGTGGGAGAGGGAGAAGCAGGCTTCCCGACGAGCAGGGAGCCCGACACGGGACTCGATCCCAGGACCCTGGGACCATGACCCGAGCCGAAGGCAGACGCCAACGACTGAGCCACCCAGGCGCCCCAGAGAGGAGTATGTTTAATTAATACAGAAGGCCTAGCCACCAAGTATATGGCAAATGAATGAATGGAAGACCTCTCAAAAATACTGTAAGCCAGGTATTAGAAGAGATATTGGGCAGGATCCAGCAGAACAAAAAAGAGGAGAGAGCATTCTGAAGACTAAAAAACTGTATGTTGAAGAAAAGAAATGGGAATTTGCTTGAATCATGAGGAGAGGGCAAGCTGATAAACTAGGTTAAAGTGGGAGTACAGTAAAGACAGATGAGCAGAGAAAGAAGCCAAGAGTGCCAAAGATAGTTTGAATTTGTCACCGCTGCTCTGGAGGGGGGAATCACCAGTCCACCTGTCAGGTCCTGTAACTCTTGGCCAGGTCCCAATCAGCTGTCAGGCAAGGGTCAAGAGGCAATGATCCTGCTTTAACATAGAGTTTAAAGTGTCACACATCCCTCCCTTCCAGGGGTAGGATTCCCAAGGGCCTTAAGGCCCCCCCCCCGCCCTTCTTTTTAAGATTTTATTTATTCAGAGACACCTGGATGGCTCAGTTGGTCAAGCATCTACCTTCAGCTCAGGTCATGATCCCAGGGACCTGGGATCGAATCCTGCATCGGGCTCCCTGTTCAGTGGGGAACCTGCTTCTCCCTCTGCCTGCCGTTCCCTCTGCTTGTACTCTCTCTCACTCTGACAAATAAAATCTTAAAAAAAAAAAAAAAGATTTTATTTATATGACAGAAAGGATGAGCGGGGCGTGGGGCAGTGCAGAGGGAGAAGTAGACTCCCTGCTGAGTGCAGAGCTGGACATGGGGCTAGATCCCAGGACCCCAAGACCATGACCCCAGTGGAAGTCAGATACTTAACGGGCTGAGCCACCAGGTGCCCCCTTAGGGCCAGTTTTTGGAACATTGTGAAAAGGGATGTGAAAGCCTTACTTTTTATAGTAGGAAGTTTTTTATTTTCCAACAACAAAACAAGGTTTCAAGAACATCTCTGCTCAATCTTTAAGTAGGAACTTTTTATAGCCACTGACAGTTATTAAGTTCTTTATTATTTTTTTAGAGGGGAAGGGGGATGTTGGAGGGGCAGAGGGAGAGGGAGAGAAAAAATCTTAAGCAGGCTCCATGCCCAGTGCAGAGCCCTATGCAGACTCGATCTCACAACCCTGAGATCATGACCCGAGCTGAAATCAAGAGTTGGATGCTTAACCTCATGAAGCACCCAGGTGCCCCTATTAAGACCTTTATTAACCAAGTGAGACCTCCTCCCCTTGCCCTCCCCTCACAAACACAGTATTAAGCAGAAGAGTGTTGAGTTTTCTGTTTATAGCTCTAAGGGCTCAAGTGTGAATTTCTTTGCATCTCTGTATGACTTGGTCTTTCTGACTTTTTCTGGAGATTTATTTATGTATTTATTCACTCACTAATTTATTTATTTATTTATTTGATGCACTCACTCACTCTCTCTCTCTCTCTCTCTCTTTCCACAAGTCTCCAAACCTCTCTGGTCTGAACTCAAGGCAGGGGAGGATTCATCTTTGTATTCTAGCCATATCCTTAGTTTCTACCACATGGAGAAAAAATTATGTTTGTTGATATAGCAACAGATGGAATGCAGAAGCAGATATGAGAATCCAGTCAGGCATTAAAGGGGTTTCCAAAAATGTAAAACAATGCCAACTGTCTTACTGATTTTTTTTTTTTTTGGTTTGGGAAAAGTTATTTTTCATAAATGAATTAATAAATTAAAAATATTAACAAGTAAATATTTGACTAAACTAGTTTTTCTTCTTCCTATTTCCTTTTTCTTTCTTTTTTTTTTTAAAGATTTTATTTATTTGACAGAGAGACCACAAGCAGACGGAGAGAGAGGGAGAAGCAGGTTCCCTGCTGAGAAAGGAGCCTGATGTGGGACTCGATCCCAGGACCCTGGGATCATGACCTGGGCCGAAGGCAGCCGCTTAACCGACTGAGCCACCCAGGCATCCCTCCTTTTCTTTTCTTCTTGATCTCAGTAGTCAAATTATAAAACTGAATGCTATTCTTTGTTTCCTATATTAAATTAAAGCATGACATGATATTCTCTAAAATTCCTCACCACGCTGAACCTATTTTTATTTTATTTTATTTATTTATTTTTTAAAGATTTTATTTATTTATTTGAGAGAGAAGGAATGAGAGACAGCATGACAGGGAGGAGGATCAGAGGGAGAAGCAGACTCCCTGTTGAGCAGGGAGCCTGATGCGGGACTCGATCCTGCGACTCCAGGATCATGACCTGAGCTGAAGGGAGTCACTTAACCAACTGAGCCACCCAGGCGCCCCTGGGGTTTTTTTTTCAGAGAAAAGATAAAGAAGCCAGCAGTTACTGCCCAAGCCACTACTGTATATGAAAACAAACATTACTTCTTTATTCCTCATTACAATCCCGTGAAAGAGGTATTATACCATTTTATGGAAACTGAGCTTCAGAATGGTCATTTTTTTCAAGGTTTTTTTTATTTCAACCCACAATAAAAAATACATTTTATTCTCATGATCACTGAAGAACACACAAATGTGTCTTCATTGACATAAAGGTTTCATGAAACAATACCCTAACTATATGCAATGCATTCTGATATTTTCTATTCTATTTCCCTTTTTGAAAATACTGTTTTGCATCCTGCTAAATCAGTTTCACAACCCATGAATGGGTTGCAATCTGTAGTTTGGAAAACTTTACTAAATAAATGTTCAAAATCATAAGTGGTAAAGCTAGATGTGAACTGAATTCATGCTCTTTCCAGCAAACAAATACCTTCTCATGAACATTTCTTAAAAAATGCATTATATATATGTTGTGCTTAGCTTTATCTCATTGTATGAAGCCAGCAGGACAATCCTAGGCAAAGAAGGGATAGGCCTACTGAGGAAACATAACGTGAGATTAAACATTTAGACAAATATATAATGACATTAGTCCCCCTGTTTAGTATGTGAGTGAATGTGGCATTTGCTTTCATTTCTGAAGAAAGTTGCTTAGTATCCACAAAAATAAACAATAAATTTGGAGCCATAGACTAGACATGTAGAGCTTGTCTTGGTTTAGTAGTAAATTATTATTTCAAGTTTTAGTGAATTATAAATTATCTTCAACTTATGATTGGGCTAAAATGAAAAAATATGATGTTTGGTGGGTGAGGTCATGGGAGTGCAGAGTGGGGTGCTGGGGAGGGAGTAGGAATGGTGGGGAGGAAGCAGTAGGCAGTCCTCAAACCTTTACTCCAGTAAACTGAAGATTGCCTAAATGACAATAACTTGTTTCATTTTAGATTTTAAGTTTTATTTATTTAAGTAATCTCTACACCCAACGTGGGGCTTGAACTCACGACCCCTAGGTCAAGAGTTGCATACTTTTCCAATTGAGCCAGGCTGGGTGGCTCAGTCGTTAAGCGTCTGCCTTCAGCTCAGGTCATGATCCCAGGGTCCTGGGATTGAGCCCCGCATCGGGCTCCCTGCTCAGCGGGAAG